CTCTTCTTTGTGGGCAAGTGGGCAAAGCGGAAGTCCTAACAGACAGCACTATACTGCGCAAGGGAGGCCAGGAACAACACAAGCACGTTTCTTGGCAAACCCTTGCTTGTCCCCCAATCTCTTTGCTTTGCACCACTGGGCTGGCGGCGTCTTCCATCCCACCACACGGGCTGCAGTTTCCCAATGGCCACCGCATTACTAGCCCACAAGTGTCTGGAGGCCGGGCACGCCACCTCCCGACTCTGGCTACGTCACAATTTGCTTGACACAGAGCAGATGCAAAGGCTTTTTTGATTATCTATGCAGATTAGCCCAACAGCAGCAAGAAAAGGAGTTGGGTGGCTCTGCTTTCTCTGTGCCTCCCTCCCCCACCAAGACCGTCCGAAGTCGTCCATCACTTCACGCGCCATGACACAGGAGGAGGAAAGGGCGGGAGCACGCACAGCGCTGGGTGCGAGCCCCCCACGCGTGCGCGCTGCCGCGAGCGGTCTCGGGCGTTTGGCCTTAGCTAATGAGCTGGTCTGATTTTAGGGTAATGAAGTCATCAGGAAATCTAGAAACCACTTGTCTTTACAAAATGCGCTGGGCAGTAGTGTCATTCTTCAGAAACTGTAATTTAAACGCTTGTGATCTTTTTTCTTAAAGCCCTCATTCAACGAGACCTTTTCCATGATTTCAAATGGCCCCTCGACAGCTGTACTCCCGTGGACACAGCCCTCGGGCCCGCCTATCTGCCTCCCAGGCAGATGGACTGTGACGACAGACAGATAGGCCTACAAATTAATTCATAACCTTCTCCTACCCCAAAACGAATCCCATGTTTACTCTCATCCTACAACTGGGACCTCATGAAATGATGACCATTATGATGTACAAGCCAGAAACTAAACAGTACACTTGTGATTTCCTCCACTTTTCACTAATGTGCGTGCCTTCTACATGCAAGATGCCATGCCGCTGCAGCTCATGGGGCTGTCACCAAACAAAGTCTCTGCCGTGGGAAAGGGCTGCAGGGAGGAAGACGGGGGGAGCTGGGAGCAGCAGGAGGGAAGTGGACACCCAACAGAGCCCCACCGCAGAGACCACGTCAGGTGGTCAGGGCTGCTGTATGGAGGGTGGGGAGGGAGGCAGTTACCAGTGGATGCAGCGGGAGCGAAAGGCTCAAGAGTAACAGAAACCTCGAGAAGTGGCCGTGCAAGGCTATGTGTTTGGAAGAACGTTGCAGGTATAGGAAGCCCTAAGTTCTCAGGCCCCAAGGCAGGAACGTCTTTGGCACACGTGAAGGGCCAGTGAGGAAGGAGGGATCACCAAGAGGCAGAAAAGGCGGCAGGGCTAGACTCTTTCTTGGGGCTCTGGAGCTTGTAGATTGAACGTGAACACATTTAGTGTACAGAAAGGAAGAACAAAAATGCCTGGGTTTTGAAAAGGATTGTTTCTCCTGCTCTGTGCTGAGACGTATCACGGGGATTAAGACACAGGCAGAGCAGACAGCCAGGAGCGGATGGCGGCAGGGTTGCGGCAAATAGGCCGGAGGGCCGCAGCCCGGACACTCCCCGGGGAGAGCCAAACGCGGACAATCCAAACCTGGGGATGCGAAATACCAGCGCTGCAATAACATGAGGTGAAAAAGACACAAGAGCTCATTCGATTCTTTCTTCCTTACTTCCCTTCCATCAAGCAGACTCATAGGAAGGCAAAGCCCAGAGGCCATTAAGGTAGAATCTACCTAGTGTCACTCTGCTTAACTCCCCGAGTTAAGAAAAAGACAAAAACCAATCTGCTACTATTCATTTATGCATAGCTGCTGCCATCTTCCATCATCAGTTTATGAGCTACAGCTACTAGTATTCTCATCAGGAGAAACCGAGTGGTGAAGATAACACGCACGGGAGCGGGGAGCGGTCAGCAAGGGGACTGTTTTCAGTCCAGGAGTGTAATTTCACTGTCCATCCTCTTAACGTAGTGTGTTTTCACATGTTCACTCCTCTTTTGGCCAGAACATGGCTGTCCACTGCTCCTCAGGAGCCCTCGGCCCTGTGAGAGTGCTTCTGAGCCCATTAAAAAGGCAAAGCAGCAGATGTCACCCTGGTGATCCCCCCACCAAAGCAATCTCCTTCCGCCTGTTTAAATACTGAAGCTACAACTAAAGTTTTCATAATAATAATATGAAAAAAATGAAAAGTTTGAACATTACAATACTGGGACTAAAATCTTCTCAAGGTCAAGATTTCTGTCTGAAAGTATGTCACATGCTTGGTTTTCAGTAAATGTTTAGTGACTGAGAGTAAAGGGCAGGCTATGTTCATCAGAAAAAGCCAACACTATCGTGCCATTACATCTGATAAAGTCTTTACTTAACCTGAACAGTAACAACAACACTAAATCACGCTGAGTGTTGGTGCTTAGTTTTTAATCATTTAAGCAAAAATAAAAACCAAAAAATCAACACCTTGAGGCTACCCATGGCTTAAGCTGTTCTCAGACAGAAAACTCAGGGCTGCTTTCACACCTTGTGTTCTCGGTCAGTGAATGTGCCGTGGGCATGCTACCATGCCCACTCACATGTTTAGGCGTGCTGAGTTGATTTAAGAAGTTACATTAAAACCGAAATTGTCCATAGAACTGTTATTTTATAATATTTCCACTGTCTTCAATTTCACAGAAGTACAAGGAAACTTCTCTCAAGGAAAACAGCTACAGGGAACATAAACATAACTGAGGACATACTACATAAAAACTCTTTCAAAAGTCTACTTAGTCATAATAACCTTTCTCCTGTGACCTTGCACGTGTGTTCACGTGACACAGAGATAAAAGGTACTCTGACCATTTTATTTTCCCTCTCATGGTGGGTTTTGTGGCCTGAGAGCTGACACCCATCAATTACAAATCACAGACTTTAAAAAAAAAGAAGACTGAAGTACCGGTTTTTCCAATTCTAAACCTGGATTAAAAGTCAAAGTAGCAAAAATAAAACTCAGATTTTTCCCTCCCCGACCTGCTTGGAAACAGCTACCATTTTAAGATACAGACATGAAATAATCACAAGTAGCTAAACTATTTTGCTGAAGTGTTCATCAAGTTTTTTGTTATTTATGGTTACTCCCGCAAAGCGGTGCCTGGGCGCCAGGCCGGCCAAGGGCAGCGGCCTCCGGGCGGGAAGGTGAGGTCTGCGAAGCCCCTGCGGCACCGGCCCAGCCTCCCATTTGCGCAGGAAATGACCCGGGAAAGTAAAACAGCTGAAGCTTCGGACGCCTTCAACATACCAAGACAGATCCACTGAAACAAACACTGAGCTGCCAGAGCTGACGAGAAGGCTTCAGCGCCAGTGCCTGAAAAGCCGCAGTCGGCCGCGTGGGGACAAAGCACTGCATCTGCTTCCGAGGGCGCGGCGGCCTCTCCCTGGGCCAGAAGCCGGCGGCGATCCATTCTCAAGCCTTCAATGGCCACGCTGTGGCCTCCTGCCACAGGGCCCAGCCAGCAGGCCACCACGCTGCCCTGCCCGGCGCCCAGCAGCAGACTGGCGGCAGGCGGCCCCCCGGTGCACAACGGCGGCCAGACGGCTGTTTAAGCCAGACACCGCCCAGCCCGAACACTGCGGGCGTCTTGGTCAGGCAGGCAGGGTGCTCTGGCAGAGGGCACAGAGGCCCACCGTCTGCCCCACCCCAGCAGCACGGCTCCTGGTGATGGAAAACCAGGTGACAGCCAGCTCGGCAAACCTCCTCGCCAAGTTTCTTTTCTCTCTTCCAGAAGAAAAAAATTTAGATTACATTTTTAATGATTTAACTAGCACTCCATATATTCTAGGAAAACAAATTCGAGCAAAGAAGTGCACACTAAAATATGAACAATATCCCTCTCACTGAAGATTTCAAGGAGGGTCTGACCTGTACTGATCTGTGTCAACAGGCAAGCTCATCCCTAAGAGGGGCAACTCGCACCCAAACCCAGAAATTAACCATCATGTGCCCCTTGTGTATTTTAAAAAAACTGTCACCTTCTAGACGACAGAGCCAAGCGAAAGTCTAATTTTCTAAGGATGCTGTAAAGACAACTGAATCAAATACACCAGCCAAAAGGATTTTAGACTTTGAGGTGAATGCTATACTCTTCTCAGACAATAAGGCCTGCAATATTGTCCTTATCAATCCATATTTAATCTATACTTCAGGCATAGGAAATTAAATATTAAAATATAGAGGAAAATATAGACGATTTATTAAAAGAAAATTCCGAATTTGCAAAAAGGTAGCAAAAAGTGATTAAAATTCAAATATCAAAACCAGTCTGCCAATATTTTGGGCTTTTGAAACAGAGTTTTTAAAGGGAACGAAGTAACCGGTATCAGTTTTATACACAGTGACAGTGGTATTTAAAAAATAAAGACAGCTCTCATTACTTCAATCAGTGACGTAAATATTTAAGAAGTTATGTCGGAAAAGAATATAGGTGACAGCAAGAAGGGAAACTCAATAGAGAGAAAAAAGAGAAAAAAAGGAACATCCTCTCACACCTCCAAATTAAAAGGTCTTTAAAGGACAGTTATTTGTTGAAATCTGTTCTATAAAAAGAGGTTCATAAAATTTTACACTTTTTAAAATTTTAATGTCACATTAAGTTAAAATGCATTAGAAATAATTTTATTTAATGAAAGGGTGGGTGGTCATATCGTTCTCATTCTCTAATAAGCATTCGCCAATGCTTAAAAACCCCAGAGATTCGAACATAAAGGCCTCGTCTTTACACATTCGGAGACAAATCACACTCTTGTATGACATGGCATTTAACCTTCCCCGGTGCGGTAACACGCACTTGCCAGCTGTGGGGCGTGGCGGTGGTACTCTGCAACTGGCACTAGGGTGAGTCCTGGCGCTTAAACCTCCCACCGTGGAAAGAGAAACTCTCAAATCACGCAAGCATTCATGTTCTGACACGAAGCCCCAGCTCTGCCCTTCTTGACCGTGAAACAGGAGCGTTTCACTTGGTTGGGGAAGACCTACCTGAATAGCTGAGTTCATGAAACAGGTATTTCCCAAGTTACTTAGGCCACAGAGGCCTGGCTGCTCATTGTTTCTTCCAGGTTCTGAATAATCATAGTTCTTATAAGCAGTGTATGATGGGAGACAATAATTTGAGTTTTTCACACTGGAAGAAAGCAAAAAATATTTTTCATAATGCACTCAGTTATATAGATAGTGTAGTTATAATGAACAGAGGACCTTTAGCCTATTTAGATAAGTGGTCAGGCATACCATTTTCTTTATAAAGCACTTAAGTGTTTTTAAGACATGAAGCTAAGTGGTCTGTATAGCAAAACAAAACCAAAAACCCTCCACTGAAGACACTCCTCATCCAAACAACGAGGCGGTCGCATCATGCACCACGCCAGCCCACACAAACCACTTTTATATCTTTCTACCCTTGATTCACTGCAGCGGCTTCACAGCTTGCTCCATTCTTCATCGCTCCATCAAAGTTAAAGCATTCAGATTTTAAGCACCACCCGCAGCAGTAAATCATCTCATTTATGTCCTTTTTACATCCTGCTGCTGGAACAGCGTTGAGAACAGCAGAGACAGGAAGAGCTGTGTGTTACAGGTGAGAGCAGAGGTTTTCAAGGCCTCTGTGACATCACTGTTCTGGTGTACGTGGGTTCTATTTCTAGTTTCTGTGCCAGATCAGCAAAATCCAGCATTCAAGTACAGAAAAGACCACGGTAATGAGCAATGCAAGGGTGAAATGACCGTAAGCAGTGACACCCCGATATTATTTGGCTTTCCTTTATTCTGATCTGTTAGCTCATTTTACTAGATGAATAATAACTATCAGAAAGCTCTGCACTGTCAACTCTAGAGAATTAGAGCTATTTCTATACTTAGAAATAACAAATTCAATCAATATTCTAAGCTACCCCTCTCTTGCTACATGTAATAAATTTTTGTGGAAAAAATGGACTCTCCCTTAACTTTTAATAGATTATCTTTTAAAATATTTATGATGGCTACCTTGGGCATAATTCAAATGTACAGTTTCAGTCATTTCTTTTTTTAACTCCATAGATCAAGCCTAAAGAAGAGTCAAGGTCATTTGCTCAAAGCAAATGACGACATAAATAAGACTGTCAGACTGCTCGATGACCAGTAACTCCAGTAATCAATTCAGGCCACAATTCAGCCCTGGTGGTTTTTTTTTTTTTTTTTAAAGTAGTTTTCACCTATAATTTCAAATATTTTCAAGTATTACCTTCTGAGTTTTTAATTATTATAACAGTTTAAACGAGTACACTCTTGTCTGTTCTAACAAAGCCTGTAGTGACTACCCTCCCACCAGCAACAAGCTCAACATAAGACCAGAACATCACATCTCCACAAGTCACGCGCACACACCTCTCCCATGGGCTCTTCCTGCACCATCTGCCTGCTCCAAGCCCAACAAAAAACCAACTTCTGGCCGTAAGAAAACCCACTCTGCGAGAGACAAAGCTAGCGGGCTCGAAGGAGACCTCGATCAAGCGCAAGTCTGGAACTGCGGGCTTAGGGCTCTGAACCTGTTTTACTGAAGATAAACGGATAAAACAAAAAACAGAGCACACGCATCTCTTGGCTGTTGCAAACCACTACATGACTTGCTTTTTGCTTTGTACTTCTAGTAGTTAATGAAGTGCAAGGCGGTTCAGTGACTGGGTTCTCGGGGCTAACTTCGTGGACAAGTAAATAAACGCTGAAGCCTGTTTTTCTTTTCTTGCTATAAGAATGAAAAATCAAAATAATTCCAACAATCAAGGCCTCCATTTTTTACAAATTAAAGAAACATGTATTTCAGCTACAAGATTTTAAAAATTAGGCACAATACCCAGGAAAAGTATGTCCAAAGGTATGCTCATGCCTACGCGCGCACACCGAGGACAAGAGCACACCCTGCTCCCTGCAGCACGCAAAGCAGCTGGCTGCTGGACATGCTACTATTCCTGTGGCAGTGGGATGGAATTTGCCGGGCGAGGGATTCCTGTTTACTGAGAAATGACAAACTTACTTGCAAAAGCAGATTTCTGGATTTGCAGAACCCTTAAAGGATATCCGCAATTTTGTTTAAGGGAGAGGGTAAGTATAAACTCTACCCAAAGACACAGTCTAGTTTTAACAATTAAGATCCAAAAGAATGTTGCCTCGACTAGTCACTTATAACCCACATTTGTGTGTTTCCTAAATGCAACATTAAGATCTGTCTCAGAAAACAGCCAAACCACTGCTAGTTCTCTAAACGCCTGGACGAAGTGGGTAGAAGCCCAGGCTCTGCAGACTTCCTCCAGCCTCTCCCGTACCTACTACTGTTATTTTCCCCTGAAGAACATAAACTAGCCCCGAATCCTCCTAGGTTATGCTACCTTGCAAAAATAAATCTGCCAGCAGTAAACAGTAATTTTAATTCTAGGTGAACTCTGTATTATAATCAAATGATACAATGAAAAATCTAACTTTAAAATAAAACTGCGTCTCATTTATCTATAAAAATTTCATATTGACTTTTTAATCAGTCCTGATATCTGACATCATACCCCTGCAGCCTTAGACACATAACCACAATTCTGCTCCTTGTACAGCTGGTGCGTGCAGTGGGCTTCCCGCTGAGACTCGCCCAGGGCCAGAGCGAGGCCCAGAGGCCGGCTGGCCTGCAGGCGCTTCACCAGCTCCCACAGGGCAGGGCCTACTTTCCTACAGGGGTCATTTCGGTCTCATGGAAAGAGCGTTAAGTGAACAGACAAGGAGAAGTGTGCTCCAAGCTCGGAGACCAAAAACCCATTCAAGGGATTCGCTGTCAGGGCCAAGCAGGGAATAAAAGCAATGTGCCACACGGTAACCTTTCCTTAAATTGTAAATGAGGCCCAAATAAATTCTGTATGGACTAGTCCTACACACGTTAAAAACTGTTCTGACAACTGATTCTTCATATAATTAATCTATAATAAAAACTTGTTAAATGAAATACTTTCAAGTGTAATTTGTTTTGACTTTTATAATATCCTTCTGAAAAACTTTGTCCTAGCGATCTATCAGTGTAGGCATGTTCAAGTCTTGAATGCGCAAAAAAATTTTTCATACACCAGTGTGTCACAACTACTGATCAATTTTTAAAAAAATGTTTGTTTCTTTTTGCATAGAACTGGCGTATAGGACAGAGGTGCAGTGGCCGTTTGGGGTGGGGGTGAGAGGGTTCCCGAGAGACAGTGGGGAGCAGAATAGGCGGACCCCCTGAAATCTACTGCTGAGGGGGCACTGGGAGGCAGGAGGGGTCCGCTGCGCTCTGTGGGTCACTCCCTGGCCAGGGGAGGACTCAGGCCGTCCAGCGATAATGCTGAGAACCCCTAGGCCACCAGAAAGGCCCACTGACCTGAACTCACTTTCTACTTGCAGACACCTCCGCATCCATGAAGCTTCCCAAATGTACTTAATCTAAACTTATATACTTTCAATTTAATTAAAGAAACTGTAATTTTTCCATCTGAAGGCTAAGGCTGCTATTTCCAAAAGTTGAACTTGGAAAGTCAAGAAATAATTTCTAAGTGAAGTAACTAGATAATCATAATGATAATTTCAAAGTTAAAAGTAGAAACACCTTCCATTTTATAAATGCTTAATTTTTTTTCAAACAATAAAAAAATTCACTTTTAATCTTTCTTTGTGAGCCTGTTGGTATCTTAGAAGATGCTATTAAAATTCCCGAATCTGAAAGGACCAGCTAGATGCCTAAAAGAGACATATATGAACAGCTAGAACTACAGTCCAGTGACAGGAGTAGGCGCCTCGGTTAATCATGTCAACTTAAGACACAATCCAATTCTTATTTTAATACTTTCTGCAGTGAGAAGTTTTGAGATCAGATTGCACTGCCACACTTTTACGGAGAGGGGAAGACAAGAACGGAAACACAGCAGGCCACATACACTACTGTGAGGGTCTAGTCAAAATGCAGTGCTAAAAAGCTCTCCAACAAGTCCACCACAAATGCATGTCATATCTGGAACTGAATTTTGTATGTGCTAACCACATGCAATTGGTCGAAAGTGATGATTTACCTCCTCTGGAAACTTTTTGATGAACTGAATGAAAAGAGATCACATACACTGCAAATCAAATTACAGGGGCATTTCCCTTTTCATTGTTTTTGCTGCAGACATAAAGTTTTAAACAGAAAAGAACACATTACTGGCCATTTTGGGTTTTCACACTGCCTCCACCATTTCGCTGCTACACTACACTGTAATGTTATTATTCCATGACAGACCTTTATGAATTCTAGAACAAGGTAACATGTAATTTAAATCTTTTTGATACACGCAGCAAACTCTTTTCCAGAGAAGCACTTACAGTCTAATCACTCCAACAGAAACCTCACAAGAACATCACCGAGTTTTTCCCCGTTTGAGACAGAGCTGAAGGAAATGGATGGAGTTGATTATGGTTTTACTTTACAGATTTCTAGTGGTGAATATGAAGATTTAAAATACTTACAGATGAGAATTATTGGCCAATAAATCCCTTGCCTGTTTTTTCTTAGAAAATTTATTATTCAGTGACTCTTGTGATTTTAGCAATTTTCCCCATGTATTTATCAATTAATTATCATCACTAGGCTTGAAAATTATCCTAGACTTTCAGTTCTGAGGAAATACTCTCTAGCACACTCCATTTTTGCTAGCAGTGTTTCTTGAATGATGTACGCATTTCCCCACTGGCCCGGAATGCTTCCTGACCACACAAATTCCTTATGGATTCCTGTCTAGGCCATCTTTCCTGCTCTGTTGATTGCTAATCTATTCTATAAACAAAAACAAAATTCTGTGGAATTCTTAGACCTATGCAACAGGTTGTGATATTTAGTGAAGTGACTCCTATTTTTCCTTCCCATTTTCTTTTTGGGCTGTTCTCACATATTTGTAATCCAGATGTATATTAAAACCATTTTGTCAAATACCCCATATAAATTTTAAATGAAAGTTAATTAGACCTATACATTCAACTAGCGGTATTATTTTGAAGATTTTTTTCACAAATCAGCTTTAGCCTTTTAAAATTTATTCTTTGGGACAATCAGATGCCATCCATGAACAAAATTAGTGCATATATTTAACTACATAAATACTGTTAGCCTGATACATAAACTGACATCGAGGTATCAAAAAATAAAAAGAAGATAATTGTCTCTGGGTCGACATTCTTCCCAAAATTTGTCAGGACTAATTACAAATAACAAAATTGTCAACCTTTATTTTGTGAAGCACACACTGCCAATTGACTGTCATCAATTCTGAGACTCTGACTATTGTTCATGATGGGGCAAGAGAATTATTCCTCTGAACTTGAAAAGGCAAAGCTGAAAAGGCTTTTTTACTAAACATAAAAGTTACATAAGCTTCCTAGCTGAGATTCACTGATACTCACTTTTTAATGCTATACAACATAGCCAGTTTTAAAATGACCTCTGAAAGCGACACTCTAAAATTTGAGTTATAACAGATTTCTCTCTGTAGTTTAATAATTAGTGTTTAGAATATAAAATTCTGAAAGTACTTTCTTTCTTTTAGTAAACTACTGCAGCATATGTTTTAAGTCAAAAGGTTTATAACTGCCCTCTGTATTTTGTGAAGTTACTCCTAGAGAACTAACCAGTAATTTAAAAGAAAATCAATCTGAACGCATTAGACTTTTATCCTAAATTTTAGATACAAGAGATTTTTGGAAAACATAAAGGGCGATCAATTAAACAAAGAGCTTTTAAGATTCAGTGCTTACTTTCTGTTGTTGATGTTGTTATAATTATTTGATAGAGATGAAGGAGAAATCTTTGGTAAAGTTGAAAAATTGGATGCACCTGGGGACCTTTAAAAATATGAAAATGATAAATTAGATAAAAAAAATGCTGACTTTTGAAATTATGAAATAAAGAAAAGAAGCAACAGATGACAGTGTATGTAGTAAGTGAACGCTGGAGAGCAGGCTGGTAGCGAAACCACTCTTCGACCTTCAGTGTGAAACTTCCAAAATCTTCTTTCAGATAAAAGTAATTGTACAGAAGGGAACGATTTTCAAAAGAAATGTATCAAATGAAGGCTATGACTCGGTATCATCCCCATGAAACCTACCAGCCAGTACCTGCGCGGAAGTAGCCACTACCGGGCAGTAGGCGGCCTTCCACTGCAGCGTCAGTTACACATTTTTAAAGGAAGCATGAAAAATTAGTCCATTTCCTGTCTCGGGCACCATCGCGCTAACTATAGGTACTAACTACACACAACAATGACCAAAACCCAGAGTGTTTACCAGTGCTTAAAGATGTACGGCAACAGTGAGAAAGAGCGTTAAACAATCCTAAGCATCGTCCCAAGAAGTTATTTTTGGCTCAAGCCACCTCTGGTAGAAGTGAAAGACATAAGGCTGTAAGCTCACACCTCGCTCCCTCAGACTCTCTTGGGGGAAATCTCAAAAATGGCTTTTAATCAAGTAGCAATATGCTTAACCAATGACTTAGTAATACAGAAATGATTGAATTATAATACTTAAAGGTCTCTGAAAGATTTAATTTCCCTGCTTTTTGAAAACAATTTTACTTTACTGAACATCTCGTCCATGGGTTAAAGAAAGTTAATGTTCAGTTCAGTAGACAACATCATAAGTGCTAAATGAGTAAGGCCCAAGGTGGTCAGTTTCCAAAACTCTTCTTTGCTCAGACTAAAGAAAACCGAAGGACCAGGGCCGGGCACAGGCCCGCACTGCCTGCGTGCACGGGGCAGCGTGGTGAGCACTGACATTCGCCACACGCAAACATTTCTATTAGCTTTTAAGTTGTTATGTGCTGTCGCGTCAGCAACACCACCTGATACAGAAACGGGGCCATGAGCCGCCCATGACGCAGGACACTGCTGCAAAGCAGGACAGGACAATGGCCGGCACCCCTGCAGGAGCCAGTGGGGCGGAGACAGGCTGTGCTCAGGGTGTGGGGCAGCAACAGCCCCCAGCGCCAGCCCCCGCAGGCTCCACTCTCACCAACGGGGGCTTCACCACCGGCCCCTGGGCCCTGTCGACCGTCGGCCCAGCCCCTGCGTCCTGGTCACACCTCCTGATGCATGGCCTCCCCAGGGCCCCAGCTTGGCCTCTTAGTGGCTGTGGAAGGCGCCTTGCAGGTTGGGCCCCTCTGACTGACTGGCCAGTTTCTCAAGGGCAGTTCTGGTGCAGAACTGCAGGTAACAAAATGGTGGCCCCACAGACCACTTAGGGTGAACAGACAGACCCACATGTATCCTTGGTAAAATTGCTGTCTTCACTTTAAAGGAGACTTTTTGTCAGGGGGGTCTGGACACAGGTGGATTAAGTGAAAGTAAGGTACCTTCCTGAGAGAGACCCTCACAGGATTTTACTAAGTTCAAAAATACAAAATACAAACAATGGAGTTTTAATATAAAATACTGAAGAGAATACATTTTAGAGTTAACTTTAATATCCTAATATTTTAAGATATTAATTTTAAAATATTAATAAAAATGCAGAGGCATCCTGGCACTTTGCCTTCATCGTCAGAAAATTAAATGCTCAAAATGTGACCTATGTCTTACTTCAACTCACTGTAACTCCTCAGGAACAGACACAAGATACAGATATAAACATAACCTTGAATTTTACTTATATTAAGAATTTATGGAAATAAAGATTCATTATTTCACCTGACAAGAAGGCTGAGATAGTTCTCCCTCTTTTCTGCCCATCTGTGGCCGTTATTCATGCTCATTAGCAACGCTACCGTAGTATTAGGAGTTTCTGTGAAATTCACTAAAAGTGAAATTCATTAAAACACTCACTGATTAAATGAGTAGTAGTACTTGCTTCCTCATCCTTGGTAAGGGACCAGGAATAAAAAACAAGGAGTTCCTGATCTCAAACAGTTCACAAGCAAAATAACTGTAAAACACTGAAAGCCAGAACAAACTAAAGTCATCAACAGAAATCTTTTGGAGAGGCACATGAGGTGGTTTTACGCGGATGTGAGCACATGGAGAGGCGCGTGGGGCTGGGAGGGAGGACTCCAGCGGGCAGAACAGCACAGGGCCGCAGACGGCACCGCGTGCTTAAGGGGTCACCGAGAAGCCCAGGTTGGCGGAAGGACAGGAAGGACGCAGAGACAGGTCGGAAGTTGTGGAATTGGGTGTGAGAATCTTTCTGGAACATGAAGGAATCTGGGTTTTATCCTGGTGTGCTGGGGCATGCTGAGAGACTCTACTAGGATTTCAGCTCATCAGCCTCGTCTTCACGAGGCCCGACTCCTGAGGAAGAGAAAGACGGCAGGCTGGGCGATGTCAGGAGACCACCGCAGCAGCCAGGCGAGCGCTGGCAGAGAGGCTGAGGCGCAGACCAGTGTGGGCGAGGCCGCGAGTCTTGAGTCTGGAAACAGCTCACAAAAACGCAGTCGCACCCGCATGGGGTTCAGGAGTCCAGCCCAGGGGTAAGAGCATTTCCGCAAGTGCGGGCAGGTGTTTGCGACAGCGGGTGGAACCGCTGGCATCTCCGACAGCGAGGCATGCATCCCTTGACGGCACTTCCAAGACCGCCCGAGGGGTGCGGACAGCCCCGCCTGGCACCCAGGCACAGCCGGCCACCCCGTCGTCCTGCGCTGTGCTCCGACAGCGAGACTTCAGCCGCGGGCTGCACTTCGCAGGACGCACCCTCCGCAAGCACCAGACGCCCCTGGACTCTTCACTGTTCCTGCAGCAGAAAACAGTCCTCAGCTTCACTAAAAATCCGTATCGAAAATAAAAAACACCGACTTTACTAATCTTTTCCTTTAGCGACAGTTCTTTCTCCTATCGTGTGACGCAGGCAGCAGTAGGCATAAAGCACCTGTGAACACGGAAGCAACACTGTCCCTGCGAGGAGAGGGTGGTGGCCGCCACGCCGCGTGGAAACTACCACTGTTCTGCCACCACTCTTCTTCCTTTTACACAACGGCCACCGGGCAGAAACCTTCTCAAAACTGAGTGAAGGGAGCCCGTCCTTCAAGGAAAACAACTCCAAGTACAGTTGCTGCCGGTGACATTCAAGTGTTCGATGCAAAACCAGGGTTTTGGGAAATCGGACTTTGTTGCCATGAGCTGGATGCTCCTCACGACTTAAGCTTAGTCATATTTTGACACATGTGATTCTGAAAAATGCTGTATAATGAAGTCAGCCAACATGTGGTATCTGCACAGATCAGTGAGTCAGCATTTTCCAACTGCATGAGGTTACAGACTATAAGACACTGTTGAAAGAAACAGAAGACACAGGAAATAGAACCCTGCACATGGATCAGAGCAGCAACACTGTCGATCAGCCACTCTGCTTGAAGCAACGCATCCTGGCTGAACAGGAACGGCAGCCCTCCCTGGGCACACCGGGTGAAGAGCAGCAACGGCGGTGACCCCAGGGCGCGGCAGACCCCTGCATCCCCCAGCTGCCCCCTCAGCGGTGTGTTTCGGTCCATCTGCCTGTCGTGCTTCCCGCTCTGTCTCTGGGGGGGTCCTCTCATCGCCCCTGCAACTCTCACCTGTACCCCAGTTCTGTATGCAGAAATAAGTGGAGCTTTAAAAAATATATATATATAATATATAAATATGTGTAAATGGCATATTTCAAAGAACTAGAGCAAATTCATATGGGCTCTCAAAACACCCCAAGCAGCAATGGCAAAGAAGAGAATGGCGGCATCACATTTCCAGACCTCAAGCCAAGTTACACAGCCGCGATAGTGAAAACAGCCTGGTCTTGGAACTGAAACCGACACATAGGCCATGGAATCGAACTGAAAGCCCTGACATAAAGCCACATGTATGTGGCCAGTTCAGCCAGGACCAGGCAGCCAAAAGCATGCTGTGGAGCAAAGGTGCCCTTCTCCACAAATGGTGCTGGGAACACTGGCGAGGTGCAGGCAGAAGAATGAAACTTGACCGTGAATGCTTCCGACTTGGCTTTAAAACCCGAAACCAGGAAACGCACGCGACAAAGCGCAGGGGAAACATTCAGGACACAGCCGTGGGCGGCGTCAGCAGCAAGTAAAGCAGGAGACAACAAACAGCCGGGCCTCCACCACGACGATTCTCCGAGCCAGGGGCAGGGCTCGGCGCACGGTAGGAAACCCCGACCAAAACGAAAAGACACGGGAACGGGAGAAAGCACTGCAGATCACCATGGGCCGAAGGACTGCTGCAGATCACCATGGGCCGAAGGACTGCTGCAGATCACCATGGGCCGAAGGACTGCTGTCCAAGATAGACGAGAACTCACAGAACTGCCGAAACAGACAATTAACCCAACTGAAAACTGGGCGAGAGGACTGCAGAGACCCCTCTCCAAAGACGACATCAGGTGGCCTGGGGCTCTGTCTCGGCACTGGCACCGCGAAGGCCCAAGGTCCACTGCTATGGCCTGAGTCTGATCCCTGCCGGGGAGTGACCACCAGGCGCAGCAGACCCCTCCTGTCTCCCCGCTGTCCCCTCAGCACTGTGATTCATCTCTCTGCCTGTTCTGCTCCCCACTGTCTCTGGGGACTCTGCTCATCCCACTACCTCTGCACCTTTGGCCTGCACCCAGTAATTCTACGCAAAAATGAATAAAATTTTTTTAAAATGGCAACAGACAGGGCCCTCCCTGGTGGCACAGTGGGTTAAAGCGCAGCACGAAGAAGCTAAAGCCACTTCAGCACAAGTTTGGTCCCCGCCCCAGAGATGACCCACAGGGCGCAGCAGACCTCTCCTGGCCTGTCCACTGCTCCCCTCAGCAGTGGGCTTTGTTGATCTGCCTGTTCTGCTCCCCACTCTGTCTCTGGTGAGTCCTCTCACCCCCCTACACCTCTGGCCTGCCCCCCCCAGTTCTATGTGCAGAAATAAATACATCTTTAAAAAAAAATGGCAACAGGCACATGAGAAAATGTTCACGATCATCAGCCAAGGCCACAATGAGGTGCCACCTCACACCTGTGTGAATCACCCGTCTTGTTTCAGGAGTAAGAAGTGCTGACGGTGGGACAGGGCACCGTGCCGACGTCGCTAGGGATGCAGACCAGCTCAGTCCGCTGGAGCAGCATGCAGGCGTCCAAAACACCGGACCCAGTTGTTCCTTTTTGAGGTGCCCCGCCAGAAAACCCCCAGACGTTCACTCAAAAGGAGCCGGCACCCCACACTCACTGTGACGCCCTGCAGCTACCGATGGAGCAAGGCACGCGCCGGCAGGGGGCGCCAAGGCAGCGAGGCGCAGACCACGGTGACCAGAGACGGCCTGCCATCGGCGGCCCCTGGACGGAGCCTGGCAGGACAGTGCCGGACGGTGCTACTAAACGCGGGGTGTAAAGCAGCGGACTTAGCAGTCAGATAAAGACGCTGGAAAGTGAGCCCTGCTAACTGCCTGCACAACTGACGCCCCGAGGGGAGAGGCGTGGAGGGAGGGACGCGCAACGGCCATGGTGGCGGAAGGTGGGTGTGCTGGTGGTCACACGCGATGGGGCACCCCAACATTATTAACCCAGTTAAAAATAATTTAGACAAAAAATAGTTTTTTCAGAAAGTCAAAAAGCACCGTGTTAAAACGTGAGTGGGTGGTAAGGAATAGCTAAATGTTGCCTCTTACAGAAGCTGGCTTCATTAAAAGAATAAAAAGTAAAATAAAAACACCCCAAAACTAAAGAATGGTATTTGGAGAATGTTTATGACTTTTTGTTGTATTTTTAAAGACTAGAGCTATGTTTGCATTTAGAACTTGGAAAAGCAAAGCCTGAAGCGGCGTGAACCATCTACCACAAGCGTGGAAGAGTGCCGGCCGGCAGGGGGCAGGGAGGAGGGGGTGAGGGGCAGGGAGGAGGGGGTGAGGGGCAGGGAGGAGGGGGTGAGGGGCAGGGAGGAGGCGGTGGGGGAAGCAAGATGCAGGAAGCAGGGGGTGGCCACTGGAAGGCTGGTGGCAGAATGCAGGGTGAGAGAGAGGCCCGATGAGGTGCACAGGGAGCCTGGTTTGGCGCTGTCACAGCCCTGAGAGCCGCACACCGCGCCAAGTCTGACTTCCGGCCACGAGTGCGCAGGGCCCCATCCGGCTAACTGGCACGGCTGGTTTCAGGTTGACCAGTCAAGGCGGTGGATTAGAACTTCAGTCTTACCAAATGGCAAAAAATATTTGCGAATCATGTATCTAATAAGGGCTTAATCAACCGATTGATCCACACAGACACAACTCACAGCAAAGAAAAAATTCGATTAAATGTGTGCACAGGATCTGAGCAGTATTTTTCCAAAGGCCAACAGAAGTTCAACAGGCACAAGAGAAGGGCCGCAACCACCAGAAGCCACTTGGGAAATGCAAACAAAGACCACGGAGCAGATCACTACACCCGCGGGAGAACACGGGTCCCGGAGAGGACAAGCACCAGCGAGAGTGGGGCACGAAGGGGCCTGCACTGTCTGTGGGCGAGCGGCCGCAAGGCTGCTGCGGGAAACGGGGAGCGCCCTAGCCAACAAAGAAAGAACTGAGACAGGTCAGGACATCCGCATCTGGACAGCTGGCCAAAGAAAACAAAGACAGCAACTTGAAAATACTCTCTGCACCTCAATTTTTACTGCCCCGTCATTCAAACAATCTAAATGGCCACTGGCCAATGGAGGGATACAAAAAGGTAGATCAACAGGCACACACACAGAACAGAGTATCTGGCCACAGAAAGGAAACATCACTTGCAACAGAATGGATGTTGAGTGAGGGAAGTCAGAGAAATACAAAAGCGCAGAAAACAGACTGGTGGTGGGCTAGAAATGGGACAAGAGTTGGAGAAATGGGTGAAGGGACCAAAAGGCGCAAAGTCCCCCTGCACTCACGGGGGTGTAACACGTGACATGATGACCACAGCTAACAGTGCTGTGTTCACTGAAAGTTTGTAAGGGAGACCTTGAAAGTTCTCATCGTATGAAAACATTGTTTGTACCAGTGTATAGGGACTGGGTCACCTGACTTAATGTGGTGACGATTTTGCGACGTATATAAAATCACGGTGTCTCTAAATCATCAGATCACTATGTTGCATACACCTAAAACAATTACATGGCGATATACCTGAAAAGTAAAAGCTTCTGGGGGGAGCACTGGGGGACAGTGTTTTGTCTCTTACACACACAAGTACAAAACTGCTTAGGTAAACCAAAACAGTACTTTGTTGCACTTGGGAGAAGATAATAAAGTTTTTATCAGCTTTAACTTTCAGGTGAAATAAGTAAATTCGAGTAGAAAAGATGTCTCCATTTTTGGAACTCAACGATACTTTCTTATTAACCCACAAATATTTTATAATTTCAAAAATTGTTTTAAAATAACCACCTAAACATAGCTAGAAAAAGAAGAGTGGCTTTAATTTAAAGAGCAAATTTGAATCAGTAGGAAAACACACCCAGCTGCCAAAGCTCGCCGATCACAGAATGATGCTTGTGTATGTCCTTACGCTGCGGAAAGATGAAAAACTTCACACAACAGGCAGGATTTCTCATTAAAAGTGTGCACTATGGGCCCTCCCTGGTGGCGCAGCGGGTTAAAGCACAGCTCTGAGAAGCTAAAGCCACTTCCGCA